GATGTGGGCGAGACAGGTGGATCCTATGGACGCCAACGGCCGTGAGAGGATAGGCCAGGTGGATTTGACGGCCATCCGGGGTCGTGAGAGGATAGGCCAAGTGGATTGAGGTGGATCCGAGGCCTCCCAGCCAATCCGAGGCCTGCATCCACATTTTAGGCCCGCCCACATGGACTAGGGAAGAATAGTATTAGGAGGTAACCTGGGGCGATTTTTGGAGATAGTTACTGACCCCAGAGATATTGTATTGGGCTCACAAACTGCCTTGCACGGTGTCTATCATAAACATTTTATTGGCGGCTGCGCTGTGATTCAAAATCTGTGGGGATGGTTCCTGACCACTGATATCTTGCTAATCTATGCATGTAGGCTGTAATCAACCAAATCTGAGACGGGCGGAAAACAGCCTGTTTTCCACCCTGGGGCATGGATAGGAGCTCGCCAATGAACGCCTCGTACTCCTCCCGGGTAAGCTTGGAGGTGGCATCGATGTCGTTCATGATCGACTCGACGTTGAGCGGCGCTTCCGAATTGGCGGAGAGAATCTTCTTCAGCTTCTCGCACGAGGCCTGAAGGCGGAACGTCGCCTTCGGATTCGACATGACGTCGATCTTGTGCTTGGTCTTGAACTCCGAGAAGTGGCGCACGAGCGCGTAGTCGATCTCGCGCCCGCCAAGGTGGGCGTCGAGGCCGGTGCCCTTGACGACGAGCTGGCCCTTGGAGAAGGCGACGACGGAGGCGGAGAGCCCGACATCCACGAACACAACATGCCGCGGATTCTCGGGCTCGGGCAGGTCCGCCTTCGTGATACCGTACCCGAGCGCGACGGCGGCGTAGTCGTTGATCAGCCGAAGGCAGTTGAGGTCCGCGATTGCCGCCGCGTCAAGCATTGCCCGGCGCTGGATCTCAGTGAACCAGCCGGGGATGGCAATGACGATGTCGGACACGCCCGTCTTGAGCTCCACGGACGCGATATCCTTGAGCTTATTGAGGTACATGGCGGTGAGTTGCGTTGCGGAGAACGTGTGCGGCTCGCCAACATAGTTGACCTAGGAGGAAACAAGGTCAGCCCGAAACAAGGTATGGACTGGACGCATTACGCACCTGCACACAGAAAGTGCCATTCACATCGACGAGCTTGGCATTCAAGAATTTCTTCTCGTATTCTTGCACTTCGAGGTCGTTCAACGTCCGGCCGATCAGGCGCTTGAGCGAGCCTACGGTGTCTCTGAAGTTTGACGTCTCTTGCGTCTTCGCGGCTTCGCCTAAGGCGCGCTGCTTGGGGCCAAAAGCAACCAACGAACTGTAGGTGTTGCTTCGTGGACGAGGCGAACCAGTGCGGACATCGTGGAGTCCGGGCATTCACTAATGGATGATGAGGTTGCCGAGCGTGGAGAAGAGGGAGGAGGTGCCGGCCGGGTGCAGGGTGAGCTGCAGGCGAGGCCGCCTTAGAGTAGAGTAACTAAGCAGGGTCGTCCAGCCTGGACGGGCCGTGGGAACATACCCCGCTGCCTGACAGACAACGATCGCACTCTTGATCTAACCTCTCGCTCGACATCCGTCACGATCCAGCATTTACAACTGCACACATTCTCTCTGCTTCATTAGTCACCTGTATGAGTATTCCTGAGGACCTCGCCAAGGGGCTGTCTGCCTCAGCTTTGCACGAACTGCGATCGGCTCACCAAACAGGGCTAGGACTGTCTTTGGTCCGATATCTGCTGTCATCCCCGCTCGGTCAGGACGTCGACTCCCCTCAGGTAGGCTTTGTTTATTTCAGCTCAGTATTAGTGAGCTCAATTCTTAGAATCTGTAGTTGGTTTCCACGACAGCTTCCAAGCGTCGAGCACGTTCTACCTCATGCCCCCCCTCTGGACACCCTGTGCAGGGGACGGCTACGGATGTGGACTTGAGTCCTTTATCGAGTACATCAAATTGCATCAGGGAGGACAGCGGTCACACGTCGAATCTCAAAAGGACAACGGAGGGAGTCGCGAACCGATCATGACTCGATCTCGTACTCGGAACACGCGTACTGCGGCGCAAGCTTCTGCAGCTCCGCGAGGGCAGGATGGGACTGCGTCTAGTGCTGTGGTAGCTGCGCGTGGACAGGCACGACCATGTAGACGTCGAGGGGTCAGGGACCTTCAAGCTGTGGTGCAAGCACAAAGGGGTAACGTACAGGAAGGGTGTGAGACTGACGAAGTACTAGGGACACCTGAGGGTGCAGATGCTGGTAATACAGCTCCAGTTAGTAGGAGGACACGTCGTAGAGCGGCAAGAAAATCTAATGGAAAAGCGACAAATGGTATGTTGCGTAAAATAACAGGGTTAGGTACAAATAAATGGATATTTATGACAGGCACTATTACATCGCCTACGACAGAGGAGTCTGTAGCATTGCCTGCAGTTCCTGAGGACGATGCGGATACCGGCATGGTAGCAGGTACTATTCCGCATACAAAGAAGGCTAGGAGGACGAAGAGCAAAGGTGCGGATAAGGC